CTGACTTCAAGGAAGAGTGGCACATGGTAGAGGGGCACTGCAGAGGAGAAACAGTTTATGGTGGGCACAAGATAGCAAAGCAAGAAGGGACAACCATATCTCTTTTTATTCCTTATATCTTAAACAGGCTACTTAGAGCAGGTAGCACTCACACCCTTAATCTTAGTGTCCTTGAGCCTAGCATTGCACCATGAATCAATTCCAGAAAAAGCCCCATCTATGACTGCAAGAGGCTTTGGCTGGGGGGGAGGAAGTTAAACACAAGCCGTAACATTCAGTAATAAGTCTCAAGTTCATCTGCTTACATAGGCATTTACCTCTCATTCAAAGGTATCCACTTGGGTATTTTCAAATACTAAGTTATAAAAATGTATAGTAAAATTTATTTAAGTATTAATGTCATTATTTATATTTAATTATATAGTAACGTCACTGTATAGTTCAATACATTAGTCATGTGCCATAACAGATGTACTAAATGCTAATGATCTTATGAGGCTTATTTTTGGAGTAGGGCTTGTATTCCAAACACTGAATAATCACACTAATGCTTATTTTCTGCTTAGGTCTTATTTGGGGGGGAAATATGTTACAGACACAAACTTTTGTGGGCATCGATGAGCAGTTTTCACAAGGTGAAACGTAGTGAGATACAATATAAGGTAGATTGTAAATTTAAGAGTAATCAAGGGAAGGTAGAAAAAACAGACTAATTGGAGCATCTTACCTCTTGTAGAAAGAAGCCAGTGAAGATAAGAAACTAAATATAAAACATAAATAAATCAAAGAGGTGAGATCTGCGAGTTAGAGGGGAAACACACCAATGGTCACTGAGCCCTAGGGAGAGGGAGTAAGTCTTTCCCTTACAGAGCAAGTGAAGGACGAGGTGAAAGGGCCAAGATACAAAGATGGTTGTGGTTTCAGGGGAACAGAATATAAAATGAAGGGTAAATGTAGCTGGGCCTACTGGTGCACACTTGTAATCCTAATCCCTGCTACTCAGAAGGCAGAGGCAGGAGCATATGAGTTTGAGGCCAGCCTGGGAAATACAGTGAGACCTCACATCAAAGAAAGGGGGCGAGAGAAAGAAATTAAGTGTAAACCTCACTTGTTAAACAAGCTTTAAAATACCAGAATAAGGAGTGCCTTAAGGCCTGAAAATACTTCACATTAGCAAATAAAGGAAATGAAAAAAATATATCCATTCATTTAACAAACATTTATTAAGCTCCTTCTATATTCAAAGTGTAATTCTTCTTAAAAACAGAAACTTGTCCTCAAGAAACTCCCGTAGAAGGGCCGGGGATTTAGCTCAGCGGTTTGGTGGCCTGCCTTACAAGCGCAAAGACTGGAGTTCAATCCCCGGTACCAAAAAGAAGCTCAGGTAGAGAGATACAGATGCACAAAAATAATCATAGTATAATGTGATCATATGCAGTGGTAGAGATTTGAGCCTGGTAGCACAGGTCTGTAATCCCAAAACTCTGAGAGGCAGAGAGGGAGATCTAAAGTTCAAGCCCAGGCTGGGGAATTTAGGAGACTTATGTCTTAAAACAAAATTTTTTTAAAACCTGTGGTCGTAGCTTAGTGCAAAAGCCAAGGGCCTGATCCCCAGTACCAAAATGGGACGTGGGGTGAAAGAGAAAGAGGGAGAAGTAGAGCGGAATATTATGGTAGAACCAGAAAGGGGCTTCTAATCCAGTATAGGAAGATTGGAGACAGCTTGGGAAGGTCAGAATTTCTGGAGAAGGTGATTTCTGGGCTGAGATTTACAATCTTAAGAGTTAAAACATTAGGTAAGAGATCACATTAAGTTAAAACAAGAAAAACTAGGCAAGTGTATCTGAGGAGGAAATGAGCAGAAGTAAAGGCACAGATGGGAAAAATATCACTTCAAATGAGGTTCAGATGAAGCTTCTAGGAATCTAGCTCATGTCTCCCTTTCTACACCAGAGGACTGTCCAGACCATGTGATTAGCACCTAACTGCGCAATGCCGCATTCTCCCACTGCCTCTTCCACATAACTTTGTACCTTATTGTATCAATGTATACACTTAGCTATAAACAATGCTATTTTTCATTAAATGTTTACATGTTTGTGAGAGGTTTATTATGCTCCGTGTGGGAAACAAACCTTGAGAGCATAGCGGACATTTCATCAACATTTTGAAATTACTCTAAATGATATAAAGTTATGAAAAGCATTTTGAGGTTTTTGAAAGAAAGTACACCATTATGGCCCAGTATGTAGCTCAGCAGTACAGTACCTATATGGCAAGCACAAGGTCCAGAGTTTGATCCCCCATCCAAAAAGAAAAAAAGAAAAAAGAAAGAGAGAGAAAGAAAATACACCATTATAAATAGAAATTCTCTGTTTATAGTAAAATCCTTGCTATATTTCTCCTTATTTTAAGAAAAGGAGACCTTTCATATGTGAATTTTAGAAATTTAGAAATATTTAAACTAAACATGAACAGTTTGAGATATGTAAAGAAAGCAGAGAAACGAAAATTCCATATCAAGATGACACTAAACTACTAAAGGTACTGTAAACTCAACTAATCTAAAACAAGAGACCTTTGGATCAAGGACATAAATACTCATTTTGGCCACCTTCTAATAGAGAAAAATTCTTTTTTTTTTTTAGCTTTAATTGAGTTTATTGGTACATTTTAGGGATACAGTACAGTTACATTCATTGTAGGGATCTTGTACCTCTTCATGACAAGTCTTGATTCTCATTTTTTCCCCTTACCTCTGCCCTCCCTTCACCCCCTCCTAAGAAAAATTCTTGAAATATTGCTTAAAACAATTATAATTTTAATTAAACTCAATTTTTTCAACTATAAAACAAGAAAAATTATCAAACACCTTATAAAAGCTGCTTTAACACAATTAAATATTTATTGCTTATTGAAATTAAATTGGAAATAACAATTGAAGCTTTATAAGATGTTAATCGGTCTCAGAGAATTTCATTAAGGCCTTTCTTATTAAGAGTAAAGCTGAAGTGGTCCTGACCTATTTCTGTCAACATAAGTAAATAAAATCATTATAAAAACTATGTGAATAATTTACAATAAAATTATCACCCAAATGTATACACAAATACTCTCAACTATGTACACAGTATAATCATTTCCCAAAATGTATTCAAAGAGACACAAGGTCCACAAGATATGCCTTTTATTTTTTTGAGACAGTGTTTTGCTACATAGTTCAGGTTGGCCTTGAGCTCACTATGTTGCTCAGTCTGGCCTCCAACTCATGGCAATCCTCTTGCCTCAGCCTCCTGAGTGCTGGGATTATAAGTGTGTGCCACCATGCTCAGCAAGTCTTTAAAAACAGGTTTCACAATCAAATAAACCTGGGAAATAGTGCATACTAACTGCGCAGCCCAGAGAAAATGTGAACCAGTTTAACTCATACTTCCCAAGTTTATTTAACTATGAAACATTTTTTCCGTAATTCATAAGGCAAATATTCCAGAAAATGTGTACCCTAAAGAACACATTTTGGAAAAACTTAATCTACAAAATTGTTCAGTGTTCTTATTTCACTAGTGGCATAGCCTAATTTAAATATGAAGCATAATTTCCTCATAAGAAACCCCGTTTTCATTCAACTCTTACCAAGACCAACAGAAGAACATTATCTGTCAACAAAGATATGTATTACATTAACTGCTTCATTCAGCTACAACCCTTCAGTTTCCCAAACTGTGTTCCATTATTAAGTTCTACACATACATGGTAAAACTACACATACATGGTAGAAACTACACATACACATACATAAAAACTACACATACACATACATAAAACTACACATACATGGTAGAACTATAGACTTTTTTGAACTATAGACTGTGATTCATTCATGAGTCAAAAAATGGATCTTAACCAGAATTTTTTAGAAAGGCTAGGCTAGAAAATAGAAAAGTACCTTGATCAAAGGTAAACACTGCCTCGTGTACCTTATTTCAGATATATATCTATACTGGTCTCTGGGTAAAATGTCTTATTTTGGTGCTAAGAGTGAGCCCAGTTGTTTCCATGCTGATCAAGTGCTCTAACAATGAGCTGTATTCCAACCCTTTTTTTTTTTTTTTTTTTTTTTTTTTGGTACCAGGAATCGAACTCAGGGACTCTGAGCTACATTCCCGGCCCTAGACAGCATTTTCGTTTGTGTTTGTTTTTGTTTTTGTTACAGGGGATTGAACTCGGGACCTAAATCACCGGCACCCAAAATGTATTTTTAACGTGAGCTTTAATCCTCTGCAGCCACGGGAACCTTTGTAATGAAAGGATCCGTCGGGACTGGGGATCCTTGGACCTGCCATTTCACACGCTGTGCCGTGGGGCCCGGGCCCCTGCCAGCGGACCCCACTGAGCACCCCTACTTGCTGGTCATGCGGGTCCCTTCCCACCGTCCCCTCCCGTGGTACGAGGAGAAGATCAGGGACTGGCGCA